GGTACTTTTCATTTTAGTATAAATATGTCCAAAGTATTTCATGGGGCATACTTTTTTAAAATTAACAAATAAAAATTGTATATATTTATGGTATACAACATGATATTTGTGGAATGACAAAATCAAGGTAGTTAACAGTCATTACCTCACATACTTATTTTTTTGTGGTGAGAACATTTAAAATCTACTCTCAGCAATTTTCAAGTACACAATACATCACAAATATAGTCACCGTGTTGTACAATAGATCTCCTCTACTGGTACATATTGATTGGATATCAATCCTGTGTATACTTGGCTTCTTTATTGAAATAGTCTAGATTAGAATTCAAACTAGACCAAAGAAAAGAAAAATCTCTTATTAATTTAGACAATCTTATTGCACAAAACCAATCACTAAGAAAAAGTTTAAATATTCTACATGAGAAGAATATGAAGTTGCTGGTTTTATTTTTTTAAATTGTACTGTGTAATATAATTATTTCATAAATATTCATTTATAAATTAACATCTCGGCAAAATGTATAAGCATGCAGTTCTACCATCAGAGATTGGATGTAGTGATTTAGACAAAAACCTTTTTTATTATTGTAAAAACTTAAGGTAAAAGATCATTATAATAATGGTTTTGAAATTTTAACAAGCATCAGTAACACCTGGAGGGCTCATTAAAATACAGGCAATATGTTTCCTCCCCCAGAGTTTCTGATTCAGTAAGTCTGAGATGGAGCCCTAGAATTTTCATTTCTAACAGGTTCCCAGGAAATTTTTTATTATTATTATACATACATGTGGGGTACAATGTTGATCTTTAATAATTGTGTACAATGTGTGGTGGTTAGATCAGTATAATTAGCTTATTCATCATCACAATACACAATCATTCTTCGTGTCCATTGACCAATTCCTCATTAGCCCCCCACCACTCCTCCTCCCCTCCTCTTTTCCACCTCTAGTTTTCTGAAAGTTCAACGTATTACTGTGATTGTTGTTTCTTTCTTTCTCTCTCTCTGTCTCTCTTTATTGTTCATTTGTTTATTTATGGATTCATATCCCAGTTATGAGTCAGAACACACAGTATTTCTCTTTCTGTACCTGGGTCATTTCACTTAGAATAATTTTCTCCAGGCTCATCCACATTGCTGCAAATGATAGAATTTCATTCTTTTTTATGGCTGAGTAGTATTTCATTGTGCATATACAACACAATTTCCTTATCCAGTCATCCATCGATGGACATTTAGGTTAGTTCCATCACCTAACTATTGTAAATAGAGCTGCAATAAATATGGTAGTGCAGGTATCCCTTCCATCTGATGTCTTAAAGAATGGGAGAAAATATTTGCAAGCTACATATCTGACAAGGGATTAATATCCAGAATATACAAAGATGTCAAACAACTTTACAGCAAAAACCCAAATAATCCAATTAAAAAATGGGCAAAGGAGCTGAATAGACATTTCTCAAAGGAAGACAAACAAATGGCCAACAGGTATATGAAAATATGCTCAACATCACTAATCATCAGGGAAATGCAAATCAAAACCACTTTGAGATATCACCTCACCCCAATCAGACTGGCTATTATAAAAAAGACAGAGAATAACAAATGCTAGCAAGGATGTGGAGAGACAGGAACCCTCCTGCACTGTTGGTGGGACTGTAAATTAGTACAGCCATTATGGAGAACAGTATGGAGGTTCCTTACACAATGACAGGTAGAACTTCCATGTGATCCGGTAATCCTACTACTGGGGATATATCCAGAGGATTGAAGTTGCTGATTTTAGAAAGCATTAGTTTAGCATGTTGAGAACCAGCATTTTCCCACATAGTTTGGAACATAAAGTATGACAACATTAGGAATGCTTGATTTATTTTTCTTAAGGATAGAAATATAATAAAATTATTAAAAGAATTTCAATAATCTCTAAATTTAGGTAGTTTTAAGAATATATCAAATCTTCAGTTTATAATTTCATCTGATAAACTCAAATCTTTCATTGTGATAAAAAGGAAGATATTTGGGAATAAGGTTAAATGTATTATTGAATTCACAAAGCACCAGCAATTGGCTAGTACAAAACCAATTATGTTATTGCTTAAAAAGCAAACATAAATTTATCTCCAGCAGAAAAGAACCATTACATCAATTCAAGTTGGAAGTACTGTGGTATTATTGTCAAGTAGAATGACCTATTTGAATGAGGTCTTCATTTCTAAACCGGCAAAATATGATGAGCCTGGCTTCCTGATATTAATCCAAGCTTTCCAAAATCCAAACATTTAATACTTAGAAAATGCAAATCTTATACTTTAATTACCAGAAGATCTTATAACCAAGGCAGAAATGCTTACAAGAACAACTGTTTTGGACTAAACACTGTAAATCCACTAATTTAATTTTGTTCTACCCTTATGTAAATATCAGTGGACCTTCAGTCAATTTTAATAGAACTTTGTTTACTTCTCCCTGATTCTCTTCATTTGAACATGTCAAGTAATTACAAATATTTATATGATAACCTATTATAACTGCATCAAATACAATCACTAAGAAAAGAGGAAGCGAAATCTCAAATTGTGACACAGGTTGTGCTAAAAGGCAACTTCTGAATCTCTTGCACCCTTATATATCTTTCACCTAAAAAAGGAGCAGTTTTTAAATCATTGATAAGAACATTATTAAATTTGTATTTTCAGAATCTTTTATGAATACTACTCCAGTAAGAGTAAAGGAGATGCATGTCACAGATATTCACACCTTAGCTCATTTATCTGCAAGTCAGAGACTAGTTGTAAGGAAAAAGCATCGCACTGCAGTTCCAAGTGACTGCGTCCTTTCTAAAACCCAGGAGGAAAGTGCCAAATATTGGGATGAGCCAGACCCAGGCTCCTTCCAAGCCTTGGCAGCCTAACTATATTGACAGAGAAGTTGGGTCCCCATATTTCCTCAGTAAACTTCCATTTGGCAAGCATAGGTTAATTAAGTAGATGGTTTAAGTTAAGCAAATCTGCATGCTACAAAATTATCCCAACTCTAACAGACTTGCAGGTTTGTCTAAGTATGTTTATAGCTTTTTTCCTCCTTTTATTAAAGGGAGGCAAAATATGACATTTGGACGAAGCATCGTACATTCGGTAAAGGCTATGGAGGCAGCATTGTGGAGGGGAATGAGCATGGTCTTTATGGGATCTGACAAACCAGAATGTGGATTCCTTTTCCACCATCTCCTAGTTAAGTAATTTGAATAAGCTATTTAACCTCTCAGAGTTTCTTTACACAAACGACCAGAAAAATTACACTTCCTTGTCAGGTTGTCGGGAGAATTAGGAATAATCTATGCAAAGTGTCTGGCACATAGTAAGCTCTCAGTAAATGGTAACTCTTGACTTTGATTGTTGTATTCTGTTTGTGTTGCTTTTGTGGTGGTGGTGGTGGTGGTGGTGGTGGTTATTGTTTTGCTTGTTCCTCACAAGAGGATCTGTGTTTGCCCATTCTTCGCAAGCAAACACCAATGCAGTAGTAGCCTGGCCCCCTTCTCATGGGCTACACCAGCAGTTCTCCACAGTGGCTGATTTTTGCACACACACACCCCCGGGGGGACATTTGGCACTGTCTGCAGACATGTCTGAATGTCACAACTGAGGGGGAAGGGTGCTCCTGCCATTTAGTGGGTAGAGGCCAGGCATGCTCTAAACATCCTACAATGCACAGAACAGCCCTCAAACCCCAATAAAGAATTATCCAGCCCAAACGGCAATGGTGCTGAGGTTAAGAAACCCAGGCCTACACGACAAGCATAATAATTGTAGAGGCAGGGAAACCATAGCAACATCAGAATATTCATCAGAAATTTGATACTATCCATGAAGGGAATGAAGAACAGTTTTAGAAATAAGCATAAAATAAGTATGAATAACTATGGAACAGGCTGCCTAGTAGGTGAGTGTGGGTGGATGTGTTTGTGATTTATTTTTTTAATAGCACATCCATTCTTGCTTCAGATATATATATAGTGTGATGAAGTCAATGTTCTGTACCACCAATCTGGAATAAATGGTTAACTTGCCCTATACAAAGGTGGCTTTCAGTATTGTCATAAATCTTTAATTCCATGAATTAAAAAATCTTGATAAGGGTGTGTACATATCTAAAAGTTGATCAGACTAAACACTTAAAATTAGTACACTCTTCACACTTTAGCATATAAAAATGTTTAGTGTATATATATCAGTGTATAAAATTTTTATGGAAAAATCTGTGGTATAATCCAAACGGAATTGAGCTACAGTTAGCTTTTCTTTGGCAATGCTGCCATGCAAACTAACAGTATAAACCACTTTCGAGTTTGTATGGACCCTTCTGCACATTTGAGATGCCAATGCATCTTTGAAGCAACCAAACTGCCATTTCAAATCTCACCTATTCAAGCTGGTCCTCTCAGCTCAACTCTTACTAGTATACCAGGCTAGTGGGGATGGATTTCTAACATGAGTTTTAAAATAAAAACCTCATTTATATTTCAAAAAATCATCACAACTGATTCAGAAAGTCTTGTTCACTTTTCAACTCAAGTTAGTAAGATCATCCTATTCTAATATACTTCAATCTCTCACTTGAGGAATGGCATTTTCAAACCTCATCAAGAAACAAAAAGCCAACCCAGGGAGTGTCAGAGGATAGAAGGAGGTTAAAAAACCAGGAGAAAGGATAAAGTCTAGTAATAATCAGTATTTTACTCTCTCCCAAATTTTTTTGAGCAAACAATAAAGAATTATCCAGCCCAAATGGCAACAGTCCCGAGGTTAAGAAACCCTGCCCCACACGATAAGCAAAGGCTGAGAAGGAATGATTGAAATCTATGAGGTTGTAAAGAATATTATTGACAAGATGAATAAGAAAAACCTTGAAAGAGATGAGTTCAAGACAAAGGAAATGCCCTATTTAAACAGTAGACAAAGAACTTTAGAATCTCATCAACCTTGTAAAAATGGAAAATATATCATTTCATTTTAATTTTTATGAATTCATGGATTGTAGACACATAATGAATTTTAGGGAAAACTGGGATGAGAGGGAGATTGTCTTTCAAGTAAAAGTGAAGAGTGGCCTTTTAGCCACTCTGTCAGAGATTAAAAGGCAAAGAACTTGGGTCTGGGTAATGGGGGTGACAGAGTGTTCATCTTTCAACAAGGATTAACTGCGCCCCTACCACACGTCAAGCACCAGGCTACATGCACTACAGAGACAATATCACCATTCCTACTTCAAGCAGGTGACAAGCTAATGGGAGACACGATGAGTAAACCCACGATTAGAATCATGGACATACTCCATTCTGCAAATATTTCCTTGCATTCTTGATGAGGTCTTGCATCCTATTTCCACCTTGTATTCACCCAACTGAGAGTATAACAGCTACTTGCATTGAAAATGTCCTTCTTCAGGAATAGCTGAGGCTTAGATAAATCTTTATAACTGTGAAAAAGCCTGAAATCCTTTAGTTCTAACTCTTTGAGGAGACTGTACCAGAACCGCACAACACTGCTGTCACTGCCACTGACCTCAAACCCAGGCCAGTGGAGATGGATCTCAAAGATGAGCTGTCCAATCTGTTCAAGGACATCTTCCAGAATAAGATTTTCCAAAACTTTCCATTCTGCACTTTCCAGATCTGCCTTCAGAACATCAATCTGTAACAAAGCAATGGAATGAGATTAGCAGGTTTGACAAATTACTGTCAAAAATATCATCTTGATATCAGGAGTCTCACATTATAACTACCTCCCAAGGACGCAGAATTTTTAAATTTTAGAATTGAAGGTTGTTTTCAAGTGACCGTTTATGACACAAATTTCTAACCTCACTTCATACACAAATAATGAAATGCCAGGCAGAAATCATAATGGACCCTCTGCCTTTCTGCCCAGTGGGAATGGATCTCTGAGAAGGAGAAGCTGAAGCATGTGTATCACAGAGCTCTGTGCCCACAGCTTCTCCCCACAACCTATATGCCACTCCAAGGAACCCAGCCAAGTCCTGACAGAACGAGGCTACAGGGTGGGACTGACACAGGGCCACTGCTTGCAGGAGCCACTTCACAAGCCTTGTCTCCCTCCCACATCATCAGGACTGGATGCCAAGGAAAGAGTTCTCAGGTATCTGAATATTGGGCTTACAAAAAAAATTATTGTTTTTCCATGATTTCTTTATAAAGTATATACCAGTACAGCATACTAAAAACAAGACAATAAATAAACTTGTGTTTACTTAATGAATACAAGTTCATATCACAGGTGAGATGGAATAAAGGAAGAATAGGATGGGAGAGAAATATTTTGCAATTAATCAAGTTATGAGAATCAGCTCTTTTTGCCAGCTTTGCACAAAATCCATTCTAATAACAGAACCCTAAATACCTTCAGAAAGCAGTGAAAGCTAATCCTTACCAAGTACTTACACGTGCCTAACACTACGCTAAGTGCTTCCCTTTGCAATATTCATTTAATCCTCTCGACAGTGCTGCAAGGGGGATTCTGTTAGCATCCCTAATCAAAATTTAGGAAACCAGACTCAGTGATTAACCCATCGCTAGTCACACAGCGGGAGAGGTGGTGGTGAAATTTGAAGCAGTCTGCCTACAAAGCCCATGTTCTGAACCATTACACAACGTTGCCTTCCAGTAAACCAACCACAAGAGGAAAAGTGGTAACTCAGAGTCCCAAAGAGGTTTTGGGTTTGGAAAATAAAATGCTATCTAGAAAGTGAATATGGGTCCTTCAGTAAAATATTGTTATCAATATCCCCACTTTAAATTTGCAGGGCACTTTTCAAAGGGGATCGTTTCACCACACAGAGGAAAGCTGACAGCATTCAGACACAAATTAGAATAATTTGCACAGAGGGAATCACTGCAAAGGAGTGAAGGCTATAGTTCCCAAGGTCACAGCCAAACATTGAATGGTCCTTCAGGAAGCTGCCGACTGAAGTCCCTAACATCCTGCCCCGTGAAAGTGAAAACTTTTTGCTTGTTTAGAAGGATGGAAAAATACCAAGACTGATCCTGCCCAGCCTCTCCCTTCTCTCAGTGCATGTCTGTTTGATGTTTCTCCTACGAGGGTGAAACGTGCCACTCCCAGTGCTACAGACACACTCCATGTGTGATTTCAGAGGTGGGTGGAGAAGTGCATGGAATTTATATATAATTGCTCCAAGACCCCGTGAGAGATGGTTTCACATTCCTGCCATGGATACCACCTCTTGGTCCACCAAGGAAAGAGTGATGGTAACAACCCCAAGAATACTGAGAGGCCTTAGAAAAGACTAGACATCTGTAAACCAGCTTGTCAGTTCAATGGTGCCAAAGCCAAAGAGAAAAAGTAAAAAAGAAAAACCTTTCTTCGTAAAAGGAACTGAGCAAAGGCAGGTTCCACATGAACATACGCCAGGCTAAAATAATTCTTATGAAATGGACGCAATGAAATTAATTCACTCTTTTTTCCATCTCTGCTGCCCTGGCATTTCCATGGCTTTGTTGAATCTTGTATGTTTTAAGCAGGATGCTCTGGGATTAAGGATAATTTAGCTGCCAAAAAACTATTTAGTCAAAACTTCACTAACTTTTCCAATTGATACAGAAAATATTCATAACTTAACATCAGCATTTGTTGTATTAATTCACATAGCCGAGAATTTCTTAGGCTCCTTACAGATTTATTTTCCCCGTGGTTTTCTGTGAGCTTACATATGTTCAATGTGATGAATAATTCAAAGTATCAAAAGGATAGGATAAAGTTAATCAGCTTTAAAAACTAAAAGCTACATTGGTGAAGTATAGGGAAATATACTTTATATTTTTTTCCAAATATATTTTTAAGTAAACTATGATTCAGAAGTCATGAGCAATGAGAAGAGAACCTAATTATTATTGCTTTCTTTGGAAATCCAATATTCATTTACAAAATGCTAATCTGTTCTAAAGAGCAAAAGGTATTTTCAAACACAGCAACACCCCCACTCTCTTTTGATTCCAGTGACTGAAAATCCCCAACTTCAATCAGAATTGTATAGGTCGATATAAATCATGCACCCCTGGAGTGCTGTGCCACTGAGAACACTAGCTCTTCCCTGCCTTCCAACCCGAGACCACAGACAGCTGAAATGCTGTGAATAAAACACATTTTTCTCTTCCAACGTGCTTTTTTATTTCTTACATTTCAGAATTTCCCATTACCACAACTATTTTGCAAATGTAACTTCCATTATTACTGCATAATGCATCCAATATTACTGTTATTATAAGGCACTAAACATTTCTGAATAAGAAATGCCACTTTTGAGATTCTAATATCAGCTTTAACTATTTGGCACTAAAAATCACGCAAATGATTATATCAGAATAATCAAGTGTCAATCCTAATACAGTTAGGTTAAATCAGGTTTCTAGGGAAAAACAACTAAGTATTAACTCCCTATAAACTCTGGAATAAGTGGAGACAAATTCTTGGGTAGATGGGTCTCGACAAAGGCAGATGAAACAACCTATTTGGTATAATTTCGGAGGTATTAAAGGGGTCCTCCTATAAAATATTATCTTTTTTTCTCACACCTGAAATATCCAATAGATTGCTTTTCACAAAACTTTTTGAAGAAATGAGAATTTTAATTTTAACTGGGTTAAGATGTGATGCCACCTGGCAGCTTCCTCATCAGGGGCACAAGTTTGTCCCTGTGATCATCCACCCAGATCTAAAGATATAAGAGGAAAGGGCACGGGTGTTTGTATCAGTTTCCAAAGACTCCCCTAACAAGGTATCACAGACTGGGTGGTTTAAACAACAGAAACATATTGTCTTACAGTTGTGAAGACTAGAATTCCAAGATCAAGTGTTGGCAGGGTTGGTTCCTTTGGAGGGCAGTAAGGAAGAAACTGTCCCTGCTTCTCTCCTAGCTTCTGGTGTTTGCTGGCAATCTTCAGCACGCCTTGGCCTCTGCGTCACCTGATCTCTGCCTTCATCCTCCCATGGTGTTCTCTGTGTGTTCATATCTGTGTTTAAATTGTCCATTTTTATAAGGACATTAGTCATTTTGGATTAGAGCCCACCAGTACGACCAGTATAAACTTACTTTCAAAGAAGGTCACAGTCTGAGATACTAAGGATTAGGACTTCAGCATATTAATTTGGGAGTGATACAAGTCAACTCATAACAGTGTTCAAGGTAAGCTATTGCAATAGGACTTTTGCAAGGCAGTATGTATTCAGGAGCCAATTCCCAGGGCTAATGCTTAGTAAAAGTGTCCTGTTCCAGAGGTCCAAGGGCCAGCAACTACCTGAGGCAATTACGGATGTCACCCTGCCAGTCTACACCAGCCAGCACTGACAGCTCTAACCTAGTAATGCAAAGTCAGGGCAAGTCAACAAGCCTTCAAGGCCAATCAAAAATATCATCGCTAAAACCCTGCACTTCATTCCTTGGTTCCTTCTCAGCCACACCACCTGGCCTATCAGGTACAGTTTGCCTTCGGCACTCCCCCATTCCCTATATGCATCCTTCTGTCTCCTTCTGGATCTCCTTCAGGCACACAACAGCCTCAATTTACAGCTCTCTACCTGAGCCTCTTCCCCATTAGGAGAGGGTTCACCAGCAAGACAGGCAGATTGCGTTACCTGCTGGCTAGCTTTCAAGAGGCCAAAAATGGAAGCTTAAGGAAGACCTAGCTCTGAGAGTCACACAGCATCATTTCCACCACATTCTACCGGTCAAAGCAAAGCAAGTCAGCCCGATGCAAGGGCAGGTGAAAGAGATTCCAGCCCATGAGGAGAGGAGTGACATACAGAGAGGGTGAGAGGAGATGCTCATAGCCATCTTTGCAGATAATTGACCACAGCGGTTAAAAGGAATATTACTTTTTACAAATCCATAAATGAACTACAGTATTACTGCAGACATGAACCTTTACTGGATACAAGCAATACTCCAGGAAAAATGAATAATACTGCCCTTATTCATCAGAAGGTAAATAAAGAAGGGCCATGAATTAAAACATGGCATTTGCTATTAGATTTGGCTTTCCTTGGAAGCTGACAAAGAACCTGGGATATCCAATGGATTAGGATGACTAATAAAGAAAATACTAAAAAGGGCAACTAAAGTATTTGTAATCTTAGAAATTTTTAGTCTCTAGAAATTAGAAATCTTTAGTATGCTAAAGTTGTTCTTTGTCTGTGCTGCTATAACAGAACACTGGGTAATTTATAAAAAGCAGAAATTTATTTCTTACAGTTCCAGAGGCTGGGAAGTCCAAGATCAAGGCACCAGCAGGTTTAGTGATTGGTGAGGGCCTATTCCTCATAGACGGCACCATCTAGGTAACCTCACTTGGTGGAAGGCACGGAAGGGTCGAAAAGGGGCTTGACTACCTCTGACAAGCCCTTTTATAAGGGCATCTGATCCCATTCACGAGGGCAGAGCCCTCACGACTCAATCACCTCCTAAAGACCACACCTCTTGATACTGTTACGTTAGGATTAAGTTTCAGGATGAATTTGGAGGAGACATTCAAATCATAGAAGGCTGCCATAACAAAGTACTGCAGACTGTGTGGTTTAAGTAACAGAAATTTATTTTCTCACAGTTCTAGAGGCTGGAAGTCCAAGATCAAGGTGTCTACAGATTTGGTTTCTCCTGAGGG